CGGATATCAGTCCAGATATAAATAATATACATATTGTCATACAGGCCATTGAGGTTGGAGAAAAGATTCTTTTAAATGGATACATAATCGCGACGTATCGTTCAATTGTTATCATTAGGAGACTTAGAGCCGAAATAATAATTGCGCAACTACAAAACCAACCAATTATTTTGCAGGAGATGCTGGTTCTCCACTCGAAATCGTTATCTATGTAATTTCCTCTAAAATATACATCATAACTACCAATAGTAATGAGATAGATGGCAGTACAAAAATCCGCCAATGACAGGCTCATATGGAAGAGATTTTGTCGAGCTTTTCCATTAATTCCTCTAAATATAATTGATATAGAATTCTCAAAAAATGCTAAACTGGCAAAAAGCCAAAGAATGCATCTTGCTACATTCGATTTAATTAAATCGGTACAAGAATTGAATAAAGATTCAGCTGGAATACATTTTTCAATAAATTTTGAAAATTTCCAACCAATACAGCAAAATAGAAAATGATTGCTGTACAATTCTCTTATAGATTTTAATGGTTTTATTAAATAGCCACTGTATTTAACTGGAAAATCTGTATTGTACAGCGATAAATACTTCAAATTCATTAATGATTTAAATGAACTTTTATGAAAATTTGAAATATAACTATTGTTTATGATTAGTGTTGATAGGCTGTTTAGGCCTAGAAATAGATTTTCTGATAGATACGTTATTGAAGTCTCCGAAAAATCAATTAACTTTAATAAAGACGATTCTTTCAATGAAAGTTGTTTTGGTATGTCTAAAATTGTTTTTCTTATTATTAAATATTGTAAATTTCTCAATGGAAAGTAAAAAATTGTCGTTAAATATAAACTGGTACAATTTTCAAAATGTAGATTTACCATATTCGGAAATAATGCAGATACTGAAAAATTTACATTTATAAAATTATGAAACATTACCGAAACGACAAAAAACGATTGTATAGGCTCAATTAAAAAATTGTTTCTCATATTGGAGATATTAATGCTTTTATAGCCGGAAAATAGAATATTTGTTAGATTTTCAACAGAAATTTTATCCTGTTTGTTAAACGAACAACGAATTGAATAGAATTGTGAACAATGGCAGTGATAAGGACAAGAAAGACTGTTGAGATTGCAGTAGAGTTCATCATTGCCTCTAAGGCAGTCAACAATACCATTGCAGACATCTTTTAGCGGTAGAAAATTAAATTCATTTTTACATTTAAAATTGCCTTTAGGCCTAAAATTATCTATTTTGTTGTTGCGGTTTTTAAAAAGAAGTGTTAAAGTAAAAATTAATTTGAAAATTATTTCGAATTTGTGTTTACCGCAATCGATTTCATCGTCAAAATGAGTACAATGAATAATTCCATCGCATATTTGCTTTATTGATATGCAATATTGACTTTTCTTACACAAGTAATAACCATTTGGACAAGATTTTCTATTACAATTTTTTAACGCTTGATAAGGATAATGGACTTTTGTCAATAGATTTCCCAATGAATCATATTCAAGTTGACAATGATTTTTTATTTGTAATTTCTTGCAATTCTTTGGATTATAGACTTTAAAACGTTCCCTACAAATGCTTCCTTTCTCGTCTCTTTGATCTAAACAATTTGTACTCATATCGCATATCTTTTCCTGTCTAATACATTGATCTTTACATTGGAAATGACCATATTTCTTGCAATCTTTTATAACAAATATAAAAAACTAGTTGAAAATGGAATTATTATATCTCAATTTTCATTCAAACTTAATTGTCCATTGAATTTATCAATACAACTTTCATCACTTTGATCAAAGCAATTTCTTTCATTATCGCAAAAGTTCTTATCATCTATACATTGTCCATTATCACATCTGTTTGTTTGCAGACGGCACTCAGTCCATACTGAATTTTCAGAGAGAGGGAGAAAAATGTATATATGTGAAATATATATATAAAGTAAATGACAGGAATATTGGAACACCTCAAATGTTTATAGGCCAAATATTAAAAATCTTTTTCATGATGAAAAAAGATTATTTTTTTTATTTTTTCACTGTTTAATAATAGGTTAATATTGCAGTTTTATATAAGTTTCTTTAAAACAGCAATTAGGTAAGTTTTTACATATTTTTTTTCTTATTTGACTACACGATATGTGTTTTGGAATAAAGAAAAAACTTATGCAAATTTCTTAAAATTTTTGCTAATAATGTTCACAAAATATTATCATAATCTTAAATTTTTTTCAATATTATGTCAATTTAACTCTTTTTCTATATAAATTTTGACAAAGCATACTAATTTGCAGCGGACAAACAATTTTAACTGTCAATTAAAAGTTTGCCTATCAAAATTTACGGTGTCTACATATTCCTGTTGTCCACTTTATATCTGAGTGCTTCCATTAATAATAGACTCGCCCAAAATTGGAGATGTCAATGTAAACTTACAACAATTCTCTTCATCAGCATTATTGGAGCAGTCTCTTACTCGATCGCAAACAAACTTCAATGCAATAAATGTTGTTGAATTACATGAAAACTGTTCAATTTTTGAACAATTTCTCTCATCTTCACCA